ATATATAAGTTGACAATTTGTAATTTCACCAGCACCCTTCAAAACCGGAACGCGGTAATGTTCACATTACAGCTTGGCGGCAGAAATAGGTAAGGCGGCAGTACTTCCCTGGACGAACTCTTTGACTAGGAGCTCAGAAGTACTTCTTAGTAGCAGCGGTGCCCTTTGTGTAACAGGTGCTACTTAAGAAGTACTTCTGAGCTATGTATGCTATATGTATTTTTTATTGGTTTAAATTTTAAAGTAGGATTTGTTTTCCACTTTATCTGGATAGCTATATAAGCAATTTTTCAAAACTATGCATAATTGTCACTTAGGAGTTTTACTCTAACGTTTTAAATCATTAGATTTATAGGTTTTTGCAATAAAAAGCACATGCATGAAAAATGGCCTCTTATAATACACTACGCACTGCTGTAATTTTTTTATTTAAATCAGGCAACTACGACCCACATAATATATATCTTAAGAAGTAACATATACAAACACAATATAAAATTATATTAACTAATATACACGAGGTGCATTTGTCGGCGACGTGTGGTGCAATCTGGTGTAAGCTAACCTGTCTCGGACTCGCCGACAAATGATGATAACCCTTCGGCCAAAACTTCCACTACATGATGGTTGAAAGATGCTCAGTGGACACAACGAATTAAAATTCACGTTGTGTAACTCCACACCGTTCGACCCAACTAACATATTTACTTGTATGTATTTTGTTATCATAAACCAAGACTTGAAATGTACTCGATAATTTCCGTTAAATCAATTTTTTTTAAAGTAATAAATAAATTTACCACTCTCATCTGCCCAATCGAAAGATTCCAATTTCTCAACGCCCATGTTAAATTGTTATTTAAATACACCACATAGTACGTACAAAACGCGGATAAGAAAATAATTTGCTCTACAGACAACCTTCCTGCTCGACGGCAGGTGCAAGACTGACCTTGTTAGCGGTTGTTGTAAGGAGTCATGGTTTACGATACATTTCGTTCTTATTATACAGGCATAAAACTTTTCAATCCGATTCCATAATGTGATGAGTGTAGTGAATTCCTGAATGGTGACAAGATGCCAGGACGACTGGCCCTTTGTGTTTGGAAAATGGACAGGTGTAAGCAGAAATTAAAGGATGCGCTTCTGAGAATTTGGGGTACCTTGTGGTCCTGAATACTAGGGATGCGCATTAGAATTCGATTTTTATGAAGATCGATTCAATTGCATACGATCTAGCTATTTTTTTAATCGTTATTTCAATTCGATTTATAAGCGAATCGATTCGTCTACATCGTAATCATAATTTAAACAAAACAGTCTCTTTCTGAACCCCTATTTTATATTGGCATGCATGAAACGCAGTCTGGCAACATCTGAGTAAAACAAGTAATTACTTCTGGGCCATCTGAACGTCTTTTCTCACTGGTATCACTCTAAATGTAAGTCGTAACAGATTGAAGCCATTTTTTTTAGCGAAATTAATTTTGAAACGATTTTTATGAGATAGATTCGAGAACATACGATCCGACAAGTTGATCGGATTCATATAATCCATTACGATCCAAAAAATCGTGCATCCTTACACGGATATCGTCTGTATACTATTAGATTTTTTAAATATCGTGGTGTATATGAACATGTTACCTGTGGCTCTAGGACTGAGTTCAGCCAGTGTCCTGACCGCCTCTAGCTCCTCGTTAAGATCAGGATCACCTCCAGGTCTTGGCTCGCGCAAATGATGACGCCCCGTGTATCCACGCCCACGGCCTGCTGTTGACATTTTATTCTGTAATTGTAATAATTTCTATTTTTATATAAAAGTCGTGGTTCGATCTACTGCAGGGTTTCGTGTAATGAACCCTGGAAGGGTACCGCAACATTTTTGTTTATAATATCAAGTGACAGGAGGAACAAGTCGTGCGTCTGATGGTAAGCTACACGCCTGTCCATAACAGTTGCAGTGCCACTCAGAGCTTTAAATCGCAAAAATTTGAGGGGCACCGCCACTGCGCCCGTCACTCCAAGACACAAGTTGACAAGTCTCATGCGCCTGTAATTTACCAGCACCCTTATTACCCTTCAAAACCGGAACTCAGTAATGTTTACATTACTGCTTGACGGCTGAAATAGGTAAGGTGGCAATACTACCCTGGACGAACGCTTTCACAACTCTACTGCTACTAAAAACATACAAATCATTCAACTATTCTAAACAAAAAATCAAATATAAAATTCGATAAACAAAATCAAACTAAACATTGGAATGAAATTAACTCACTTTACATTATCATATGGATTACTAATTACATTTTATGTAATTTATTATTATAAATAAATAAATAAATAAATAAATATTGTTGCCCTTTGTTTGTTATTAAATATATCAAACCATTTTATTTTAAAAACAAATGCATTACATAAAAATTGATATTCAATATGTTGTGGTTAAATAGGTACAGTGCGCGTGACCTTTTTGAATTTTCCCGAGGGACATTCAATCCTTTCTTCTTCTTCATGTTTTCGGAAAGGTTAGAAAAACTAAGGTAACTAGAATAAGGTTAAGAAACCTTGATCTACTGCCTCTCAAGCAGAAGGCGTGGGTTCGAATCTAGGGTTGCATCTAAATTTAATTTGAAATTACCATGAGCTTTGCGGTGAACGCATAGTTTCCTATAAGCTTTATTATATAGTCTATCATGGGTTATTTATAGTAAACTGAATCGTAATAAGAGTTCCTATATAGTGTATTTGATAAAAAAGTTCAAACGTGCAAGCGGGCACAGCGACGCATCAAGCATCTTTAACTTGGTTGAGTGTTACAGTAATTTTACATATTACACAACATAATATGTAAAAAAAGATAGAGAAAGAAAGTAGACCCCCTGAACCCAGCTAGAGCTGGTAAAAACTGCATGATTGATAAAAGGCCGCAAAAGAAGTAAACAAATTTATGTCTAACTTAGTTGTTATTTAGTTTACTCAGGAAGATAAGCTGTCAAGTAATTCTCAGATCATTGCCCTAGGCATAAATATTCAAGTGAATAACAATATTGCGTCAATTTATAATGTGTTTTTTTGAGTTTTGTTTTTAATGTAAACAAGGAGGCAATCTAGCAGACGAGCCACTTGATGGTAGGTGGTCATCGTGTCCATGGACATTCATATCAGATGAGCTGCCTATGGGTTGCCAGCTTTTGAGAGGCCTGTAGACTATATACATTTTGAAGAGCTCCATGTCACAACACAAAGGAAATAATTGCAAGTTCGAGGAAAGAACGTGATGCCCGCGGAGTCTTGCCAGGCCTCTAATATGTGTGGATGGGCTCTACTCCTTTGGTGGGAGGTGCGATGGTAGATGAGACGGTGGCACCAGTTCGAAGACGGTAGAACATACACAGATAGTCGAGGTCTCTTCGTGCACTAAAGGGTTCCGTATCGTCTGTGAGTTTGGGATCATCGACAAAACAAACAGCCCTACATTGGAAGGAGTCAAATGGATCAAGCTGGTATTTAGGAGCTCCTACCTACAGATGCAAGCAATACTCGATACGGGGCTGTACTTGGGAGTTTATGGTAATAGCTTAAAACATAATAAAATGTATATAAAATTTATTTATTACCAGACAAATATCAGGCCATAAAATTATAAGTAATTTCAACTTAATGATTATATTAGTAATCATTAAAACTGCAATTGTATGGCCGCTCTATCGTGTAATACGACATATCGGTTAATAATGACCTTATTGAATCAGATGGCTATCATTTTCAAGATACTGTACGCGCAATGTAACTGATGTAGACTTTTTACATAGCATCGCATAAACATCATCTGTGCTGGACGCAAACATGCCTAAAGCATTACAAAATCGCGGGTGCCTCTATGGGGCCCTGGACACATTAAAGATTCAGGGAATTAAACTATTTTTACTGGATTTAAATCAAACATATTTGTTTTCTCAAACAAACCAACATTTTGAACTATTTACAGGTCTCATTTGACATTGACGGATAATATTGTTTTTGAAATTTCCTATGTATAACTTCAAAGCGTAAAGATAAGACGGGTTGTGTGTGCTCAGAAACACTATTGCAGCACAGGAAGGACATTCAATGCCAGGGCTGTGTGCATTATAAATAATCATAATATGCTAGTTATACCAATTCCCTGTACTATGTATATCAGGGCCACAGAATTCACTTTGGGGTACTACTTTTAACACAGCACTAAATTACACATGCCAAATCATTACGGGCTGTTACCTTGCCTTGTTACGGGGTAACCTTTGCACTATCACTTTCTTTTTTATTCGGTTCACAAAACTGGACACAATTCAGATATAAACTACAAGTATTTCATTTACATAGTAACATGATAAGAACTGTATAAGTATCAAAATTTTAAATAAGTGACAGTAACTCTAAATTTCAAGTATTTTAAGAAAACCCAACAAAGTCAGTCATGTAGTTAACATAATATACACTTACCAATTGAGTTCCTAGCTGAGACAAAAGAACCAGTGAAAATATCGAAATCAAAACGGATAACATTGTAAGAAGAACACATGCGATACATAGGACAGTATTGACCGAGGTTAGTTCTACAAATAGGGAGCTAAAATGTTTTACGATTTTGCAGGCGACTGCTAGGACAGGGGACGGAGAAACGTAAGCGATGTCGGATGTCAGGTGCAGCTATAATACCATGTATAATTTTGAATAGAAAACATTACATCATGAGCTTTATGGTGCTTTTGCAATGAGAACATATTAAAGTGAGAGAGACGTGACTTGTATGCCGACACATGATGTAATGCAGAGGCTAGAGTCACCATAGCTTCATTAAAGTAGTATTCCCTCTGGACGGGGAAACTAACCAAGTACATATAAATCTCTAGAAGGAAAGATACCACAAGGCATCACTCATTCTGCTGTCGGAGCACCTATCTCCTGGGCATAATCTACCTTAGCAAATGTGGAAATCTAAATAGATTGTGGACAGTTGAGAGAGTGCATGTATTTGTGGTATCTCTCCCCACACAATGACACATCTGTTGTCATGCCCTGTGTTTTGCCCTGCACAAGTGAGGATCTATACAATGCTATGTCATTCCCTGAGTACTAGTCCACACAAACATAAATGCCAGAGTCGACACTCGTAAGAAGATTGTTACTATGTTACTGTTCTACAAGATGCAACATTAAAGATGAAGACTTTATATGCATTTCCAGTATATGAACTAGTATATAACTTTAAGTTATTATGTAAATACCCTAGGTATAACCTTGACTTCACAACAATGATCTTATTTATCAATAAAAATACACTGATAATGGTAATTTTATCCCAATACAAATCATTCCGCGATGCATTTTGCTTGAAAACTATAGCTATTTAACGTGTAAACAATGTAAAATAGTGATATATTGTAATTATGTTGACATATACAAAAAAATTATCGCGAAAATGTAAATTTTGTAAACGCAAAAAACGCAACCGCGATTTTTTCCGTTTGACATGAAAAGAATAAATGAAAGTGTGAGAAATTTTATCCTATCAGGCTCTTACAATACTTCCGTAGTCATTTCGTGTGATATTAACCTTTATTTATTTGTTAATATCACAAAACTTACCGGTAAAGTCGAAAGACTACTAACAAAATCCTTGTTTGTACCATTGGAAAGATCTGTCACTTTTGACGAACAAGGCAAGCTATTGAAAAATGTTTGCTACTGACATTTGGCAAAAAAGTTAAAGAACTTTACTCACCAATCTTTAGAGGTTTAAACAAATTTGGAAGTTATATTTAATAATATTTCCTAGTTTTGTGTAGCGGTTGTCATACGTTTCACTTCCATATTGGCTAGCGTAGTGATTCAAAACAACTTACAAAAAAGGAAAAGTACCGTTTCACCAAAGACAATACATAGATAATGTCGGTTTTTGTAATACATGCGAGTTCGTACAATATTAATTAATCTTATAAGCTAAGTTAGGAGAAGCAACGAAAACAATTATAATAAATTAAATTTCTATAAGAAATAGATTAGATTTATTTTTAAATTGTATTTATTGATATCAGGCCATGTGATGGTCATTCGAAGCAGCCGAGTACAATACATTTTTCCTGCAAAAATCTTTTAGTCGTCATTGGTGCTCCTCAAAGTCTTTTTAAGAGCGATGTAAGTGTGTAAGCGGTAGTAAGCTACACGCCTGTCCATAACAGTTGCAGTGCCACTCAGAGCTTTAAATCGCAAAGATCTGAGGGGCACTGCTACTGCACCCGTCACCCTAAGATATAAGTTGGCAAGTCCCACGTGCCTGTAATTTCCCCACCACCTTTACCCTCCAAAACTTGTCGTAAGGTAGCAGTACTTCCTTGGACGAACTCTTTCACAAATAGCTCTACTGCTACTATCGTCGCAACGCAAGGCGCAACATCAGCAAATAATTGAATAATATCAATTGGATAATAGTAATAAAAAATTAAATAAACATAATTACATTAATTGTGTATGCATGTATAGTGGCGTGGACAGCGTGATTAAGTTCTGGACCCCGTTAATAACAGTATATGCCATCGATACGATAAGAAGACGATTATATAGTATAAGCAAATGAAACTAACCCTTGATGAACAAAAATGGAAGTTATTAATTTGCTACGTTTACGTGAACCCAGTGGAATTAATTTATTACTTCCATTTTATTACTCAAAATGTACTTCAGTGACACTGGAAGGATGCTGGTACTTAAGCTCAAGTTTTCTTTTTTAAGTACCAGCAGTCAAAATACTCTGTGTGTATTGTACTTTTTGCTATACTTTTTACCATTTTAATTAGCTATTTAAAGAAAATAAAGAATTTATTATTAAAAAAAAAAAAAATTTATTAAAATGGACTTTCGCAAAGCAACGCCTGAATCTATTAATTATTTAATACTTAATTAACGATAAGCTAAAGAGTCTCTGGGACACAGATAATCAATTTCGATAAAAGCAGAGGCGATATATGTATATTACTTAAAGATGGTAAAGAGAGAAATTAAAAATATTATTAAACGTTTATATCTTTATCTATTTTTTTTAGATGCGCGAATTTAAGCTCAGTGATATGCACTTTAAAATTATTAGACGACCATAGACAAACATTTATCGGTTTTTAGCCAGCCCTGACCGATCGAAAATGACGTTTCAGGGGGTGAAGTGTCAATCGAAGGGGGTGCTTTCGGTGGGTGCTTTTCAGAGCGCGTTAGACGGGCGGGTGTTGGAAAAATCACATTTTCCCAATGTAATTCACATTGCCTTCGTCATCAACATGCAACGATCGATGAAAATAGCAACCGAGATTGTGTTTTAAAATTTTAATCGTTCTTTTAGTGTGTTACCGCGAAAGTTATTAATTTCAAACGTCTGCGATTGTACTGTTTTTATTATTGATATTTTTATTTTGTTACATAAACCCATTCTCCTCTATTTCTCATTTAAAACATCGCAAAAACGAAAGAATACAAATATTCTACAATTCTAAATCAAACTATCAACTACTACTGATAATAATAAATATAAAAAATTGCGGAAAGAATATAAAATTTATGAATCTAAAGTTTTGTCATATCTGAAAGAAAAAAATGTCGGAAGGTACCGGAGAGCCAAATGCACATAGAAAAGAAAGTGTAGCAACTGCTAACGTACCTAGTGATAGTCCAGTGACGGATCCAGGGCAGGTTCGTGGGGGCGCTCCTGAGAGTTCAGCGGCGAAGTTCGACGGGCAGCGCGGGAAATCGGGAGCACTAAAAAAGTCTGCAAGATACCGAAGTCGGTCACTTTCGGCCTCGTCAGCCGATTCTTACAGTTCCACTTCTTATACTGGTGAGTAATTGTTTTTTACCCTACAAATATTTATTGCTTTAATTTATTTTTTTTACTTTTTTGTATAAACAGTTGTAGTTAACTTTTTACTCTACAATAATTTGCAATTGCAAAAGAAAGCAGCAGTTACAATTTTATCACAATGGTTTTGTTTTTTCATTGTGTGTATTTTTTTGGGAAGGGAGAAAAGAGGGAAGGGAGACCTGGTGTCACAAAACACAGGGTTTTGACTAGTTTGAGAACCAGTCTTCCACAATTACAATGTTATATTTAAAGTATATTCAGTGATTTAAGTTTCACTGTTGAAGAAAATAAATGAATAATAATTATTAGAGTGATAAGAGCAAATTTTCAAGATATTTTTGCGGGTTGAAGTTGATACTTCTCTATTGCTTATTTAGTAAATAATTCTGTAGCTATTTATTAATGTTCTTCTTGTCTAAGTTGACCACAAAAATTTAATTAATACATTTTAGTAACTTAAGATCATCTATTTTCTAATGTCACACCAATAATTGAAAGTAATTATCATTTTATAAATTTACTTCAACTTATTTATATATCATGTATTTTCTATTTTGTAGTAGAAATGAAGCAAGTATACTTACCCTAGCCTATGCTTTTTAGGAAGAATGAAACAAATGATTTAAATTTATGATTAATCCTGGTTTTTGGATTGAATGATAACCAATAGGTCAACAAGTCTAGCAAACTACCAAGGACCATTAGCTTGTTAGTGCCAAACTGTGGGGCCCAACTTGTGGGGGCCCCAACATGTAGGCGCTCCAACTTGGGATAGGTAACATCAATTATGGCTATCAGTGCACAAGTAGTGTAAGGCTTAACTCACACTCGCGCAGGTCGAAGCGTCGCGACGCGTCATGCTTTTCGCCTATAGCATATAATTAAGGTACAAATTTGTGTTTTGCAAATATGGAGCGCCGACGCTCGTCAACAATATTTCTACAAAATTTAGTTTCAATTAATACTAAAGTATTTAATTATTATGTATTTGGATACTATTTTCATGTAAAAAAATTAATAGTTATTTATATATTATTATTAAATAGGTCATACATAGATTGAAATCCCTCATCTATCTTCTATATGCATTATAAAGGTGTTACACCACCTCAATTATTATAATTAAAACAATTTATTTAAGGTCACTAAATATTTTTATGGGGGCCCCACATAGTAATGTTACGCCAATGATTGCAAAGATAAATATTAGAAATAAAAAAACAAGTATTGGAACAGTTTCTTATCACTATAAATAGCAATTAACATTTCCATACTTCCATATGACACAAATAGGTACTTTTTCAGCTTTTGTTCTGCTCGTAAATTTTCGTGATAAAATTTTCAATGTTATTGCATTCAGTTTTATCACATTCACAAGGCCGATTCGTGTGTTAATTAGGAAATGATAAGCTAAAGTACATTGCGCCGCGTGTTTGACATGCTCGAAGATTATCCCATAGCCGTATTTAACTGCAATGTGCCCGTAATATTTTCCCCGCGTTTGACATGTCCAAAGATTATCCATCCATGTCTTTAAACACTGTGTTTCCCAAACATTTGCTGCTCAATTTATATTATATGTAAGAAATCTACTGGTCATTTAACCTACGCAAGAAGTCTCCAAGGCAACAATCAGCTAGAATTGGCATATCCTTTTACCACGATAGTTCTGGGCTGCAAGTCTTTGCCATCTATACTTTAAGAAGAATTAACATATAAACAACAACACCTTATTAATGTGGATTTATTATTTGACAAACTCATCTACACAAGCTCCTGAAACCAGTTTACATTTTATGATAGCGGCACCACAATGTTATAATACGTTTCCTGCAGTAGCGTAACGCCTTTGATGCTTGGTGATACCGGCGCCCGTGTAGGTACTAACGCTGTCATACGTAGTCATGCAATGGCTGTCACAAATTTAAAAAGCTGTGATAATTAATATAACGTAATCATTTATTAACAATAATAGATTAGTTACTAAGATTACATTTATTGCACTGCCAAATGTTTATGTGACAGTTTATTTTTAAGATGTTTTTCGTTTTCTAATTATACAATTTAACTGTAATGTATTCATATTCGAAGGAACAATTTAATCTTTAAAAAAGTTAAATTTTACTTTTTTTGCTAATTTTAAATCCTTCTTTTATTACGATTTCAAATTAAATTTGTATACAGAATAGTTTGTGAGCACCATTATTATACGCACAAAACGGTTTTCGTAGAATTCGCTGAATGTATTTAAAAAATATTTTAAATTATGCACGGGTTTCTAAATTAAGCGTTGCGCAATTTATTTCCATATAAAGAAATATCTAAGCTGATCTTCACTTGTTTGATTTCCCATAAAAAAACGCCCAATTTGCCGCCCTTTAGATTATGTTTCGGGGGGACCCTACATAGATCCAGGTCTGGCATGCCAAGGAACTTTTACATGCCATTTACTATTAATTTGCGTAAGCCGGTCATCAGGTTGAGTACAAAAAACACAAAATCTGCAATAACAAAAATATTACGTCTGTAATTCGGTTGCGGTAACATCTGTGGTTTGTCGTTTTTGTTTTCTGTCGTGTTGCGGTTGTGATATTGTATTGTTATGACAACTGCTTGTGATCAGATCTAATACCTCCTTGTATACAGTGTGTTTTTAGAAAATAATATTTCGTCGTTCGAATTGTGAATCGAAATCTTTCAACGTCTCGATCTTAACGTCGCTAACACGTTTGAAAATTCATCTATTTGCCAAGTTTTATCGAGAATTTAAATGGGATTAATACTCAGCCTTTCTAACAAAAAAAAAAGAATTATCAAAATCCCTTTACATATGCCGTGCACAAAAATATATTCGAATTGAGAACTCCCTCCTTTTTTGAAGTCGGTTAAAAATAAGAAGAGCGGGAGAAAATTTGACACAAATCCGACATCGACAAACGCCCGATGGCTACTGACGGGGCAGCGGGTGGCGCGGCATGTCATTAAACCGCTGGAAAATTTTTAAATTTTGAGGATAAATGTGAATTTAATAAGTTTTTTTAACAGTTGCAGTGTCACTCAGAGCCCTTATCGCAAAAATCTTAGCGGCCACTGCACCCTGAGACATAAGTTGACAAGGGCCATGTGCCTGTAATTTCACCGGCACCCTTACCCATCCAAACCGGAACGCAGTAATGCTTAAATACGGCTTGACGGCATGTTAGCAATAGGTGAGGGCTTCAGTTGAAAACCAAAATTTAACAGGTTCTCTGTAGTGGCTACTTAAAGAGAAATATCTCCAAATAAAAATTATATTGTTTATTATTAGATAATTCGTCTTAGACTTTTATTCTAACTTGTTTTCGGGATTTTATATGATCGAGTAAAGCACATCCTATTACGAATTAGCTCATTCTTTAGACAATCCTTAAGTGTATCACAAACTTTTTTTAAGACCGTTATAATATAATAGTAAATATTTAAACCGGTGACTCCCTTAAGCACAGATAACTTAATAGTTACTATGTAACTGATACATCACTCATACAAAATCGAAAATACCTACCGCTATAATAGCTTATTAAATCTGATTAATGCACAAGGGCGCTCACTACGAGGAAAAAGGAACCTAAGCAAGCGTACAGAGAGGTGAAATTAACTTTGCCAGTCGTGCGGAGCCGAATGCTCATAAATGAAAGATTTGTATAAGCGCTTGTGCCGACGTCGGTACAATCAGCGGTAGGCATTTATCGCGTAACCTTGAGCGAGTGACGGAACCCTGCATTAAGTAACGAACGAAAACGAATAATCAACTTTTGAGGGCGGTTGTTTTTTTATAAGCAAGTTATATATCGAGTTATAAATATGATGTCTCAAAAAATTATTTTTCACCTAATTAGCTCGGAAACGATTTCTTTCTCATTGGAAATCTGCGCGCAA